GCGGTCGAGGTCATTATACATTCTTCCCAATGAAGTTGACAAACATCCTGCAGAATACCACTACAAGCGCTTTTAGTTGATTGTTGATCAGATGGCTGTTGACTTGTTTGCGTAGCTTGGCAATCACCTTGCAAACTTTTTGCCATCAAACGAGACATCATTAGTGCACGGTTGAGCAGGTACTTCCTTACACGCGCGGTTTATAGCAAAGTGAGTCACAAACGGAGCAAAGAACTCATGAGTATGCCGCCTCCGAATCAACCACAGAATTAAGAAGCAACGAATACACATAGTTAAGGAGAAATTGCCCATCCAAATGTGCACTAACAACGTCTCCTCATTTGGTGACAAGCGTTTTGTAAGCAGGGTCAGTGGACAGCAACCTGATCAACAACCAACAAACGCACCGGAGCTACAAATATTCTAACACTTTATCGAGTCTTTTTGACTGCGAACCATGCAACCAAATTATGACCTTTATTACGTGATTCTGTTCTAACAGATGCCAAGAGAACCAGCAGTATATGCATTTCCTTCACCTGTGTTGTCCTATGTATGAAAATCAATCACTCTATATATGTAAAACCGAAGATGAGGCGGACAATGAAAGTAATCCGTGCTCGTGCTTTCTCGATACTACTCTAATTACAAAGTAACCGATTATAAAACAAACAATCTGGCTAGTCGTGTGCCTTAATTCTTGATGAGGATTGAAAGCGGTTTCATTTACAGGATAAAATTTCCATCAAAACTCAAACCTCCCAGCTGCCAGCATTCTGGTTGGAAAAAAGGGTACCCAAAATATCGCACTGTTTCTGAGCACACAGTCCCTACGGGAATACTTGATGTAAAAAGCCTGTCTGAATGATCGTAACTCTCTAGTCTGTCTGTGTGTAAGCTTATCACACCACTGGTTAGCTCCTTTTGACCATGTGACATTGCATCCTATTGCAAGCTGGATTCATATCTTCAAAAGTGTTGGAAGCGTTCGCATTGCTGACGATTCCCAGAAGAATGGAGCATACGTGCGGCATAGACTGAGTATACTTGCGGAATGAAATTTCATTTACTCCAGCCATACTCGCTAATATAGAATTCTTCCAGAACCAGGACCACGTTTTTATTATTTATGCTCAAGCATAAATGGGCGAGACGGCCCAAGTGGTTAGAGCGCGAATTTACTGAACGGAGGGTCTGTGGTTCGAACCCGACCTCTGCCTCTCGACTCCCCTGTCTAGGCTTTGGCAACCTGGCAGTATCCCAGCCCTCGTGCAACCTTCGGGTGGCATGGCAGTTAGGCACCGAAAGGGTGCTACAGCTGAACGCTCAAGCATAAATCACTTAGAAAATCGTTGCTCAAATTTTCGCAAGAAGGCAAACAGGTAGACAAGTGATAAAAGTAAAATTTGTTATGCTTTGTTACGTATACAAAAACGATGCCAGAATCAATCACACTGGTGTGTTATTGTTTTCGTATGGTTCGAAGTCTATGCTATCGCAACGTCTGACTTGGTTAAACCATCGATTGTCGATGGAATGACTGAGATGTAGCACCTTGGCATAGGAGGAAATTAAGGAAAGTTTTTTTGGAACCAGTGAACTAGTTGGTAAGATAGGTGGTGCTAGGCTGAATATGTGCGTTTCAAATACTGCCTGTCAAAAATAACCGCATCTCATCTATAAACTGAAACGTGTTTCTGAATGTGTGTCGCCTTGAGACTGTGTGTTCCTTCTGAAACCGTCTGTGATGCTAACTCAGCAGTGACCCCTGATTTGACACAGTTTGACCACAATACATATCACCGGGTGACAAGGTTTTCGATAAATGTAGTAGTTCAAACAGTAATTGGATTTTGAGTTAAAGGAGAGATTAATCATTCGGGTTTAGTTAACTTTGTAAGAATTTGCTAACCTCTATTTCAAGCCACAAGGTTTGGCACAAAACAACACTCGACAACGGCAAGATTATTCCTCAGCTGTTTAAAGCAACACATACTTTTCTCATCTCGGCCGCGATCACCCGCCTGGCCTCATAATTTCTGCCAAAAATCTTTTTTGTTTCATGGCCGCCTCATTTTGTGGCTTGCGACGTTTTCCATGGACGGTCTTTCTCATTCAGGAATATTACGAGACCTCAAGCAGCTGAATCCTTTTCGGCTTTATCACTTTGACTTCATACCCACAACCAGTTTAAAACGTTGCTCGATAACTCTCAGAGATTTATGGGTAGAAAGAGGTGGTGGGAAGTTGAAAATCGCCCCCACTTTTATAAATTTTTTGAAAGAAAAGGTGTTGACCAAACAATGGTTCTAAAGAGTCATGGAATCTCAAATCTGATTCCATATGGGATCTGTTGGGCTCAGATGTAACTAAGCGCATACAAAATCCGTGGACGTATAAGTAACGAAGTAGTCAGTAAAAACAATGATTAGAAAGCGTGACATATTGGCCAAGTGACTGTAGCAGCAAAAGATCAATAGAACTTTGTTGACTCTTTGCCTTACTGCTGGCAAGACAGTCTATACGTGGTGCTCAAACATTTTTTTCTGATCTCAAAGCTTTGATCTGCGGATGTAAACGGTGACTGCTTCTGATGGATTCAGAATCCTAATTCCTGCAAAGATTGGTATTTTTAGCCTAACCTCATAGAGGAATATGATGGTTGTAGCACTAGCCACTTGATATCCAGAACCAAAACTGAATCGCTGATGCCTTTAACCTGACAAGGTACGTGTTCAGTCGTTCGGTTAGACATCCTCACTCAATCGCCGTGGCTGGCCCCAAAACAGCAATTAAACGATTAGATAAGCATCGAATTCAGTCTTCTATTCTCGTTTGACCTAACGCCAAATTTATAAGTTGTTTCTGTCAGAAATGAAACCACCAGCCGTAAAAACCGCTGTTGGATAAATTATTCTATCAGAAGAATCGGATTCTTCTGCAAACCATTGCTTTTCTTACGCATGCGTGATAAGACAACCGGTTGACTCAGTATAAACCCGCGTGATTATAACAACCAGCATGAGTTTATAGGGGACCCTGAATAGTGGTGCTAACCCCCATTGAGATACGACCAACATGAATCAGCTGGTAGTCGTTGCAGCGTCATTGCAGCAAATGCATGCACTATGGTGGTCTTCCACGGCAAGTGAGCTTAAGGTAAATATGACTAGCTGGATTGCCTGATTGTGCGTCCACAAATGACCAGATTCCTTTCAGGTCATATTGCCATGAGTACAATATCGGTAGATAGCACCATATGGAAGCCGTGATCTTTCACTACTCATTTTGCGTAATTAAACCATGAATGTGGTAGTTGCTTCTGAAATAGATCACTTTCGCCTTTATTTACCTGGGATTTCAGATATCGATGTTGCATTCTGAAATCTCATGTTGTGCTCTGGAATAGTGTGGTAAATGTAGGAGAACAAGGAACTTATTTTGATAGAATCCCACGCAAATGTGTATGAATACCAAGGACTGCGTAAGTCTTTGTGCTCCCTTTCAAAGGTTGGATCTTCAAGAATTTATTCACTTCAAATGGTCTGTCTATAAGGTAGAAGCTAAACTTACGCAGCTAAATAGTTCGAAAACTGGTACACTTCATTTATGACAGCGGATATCATATGTGAATGAGACAGCAAGCTCCGAGAATCACACACTCTCTGTTCACGGTCACGCTGACTACCAGAAGTAATCCACGGAGTAGGTCAAAACGTGCATTGTGGTGAGGTGAAATAACCACACGGAATCAGCTGTTGGCTGTACCGTTGAACAATAACTTGAAAACGTTCGATACAAAATCATTACAACACGCACAGTGTGGGTAAGATTCATTTACCACTTTCTCGCATCCGACTATCTGTATCTACCACTCGAAAGATTACCTTAGCTAAGTTACGTAGGCGATTCTCGATGGATATACATTGTCTTCACGCTTCATGATGAGCAGTTAGTCAGTTTGGTCATAGTTACTACTCATGATTCGATAAGATAGTTACACTGGGCTCTAGGATGCTCCTACCTAAGTCACATTCATTTAGTTCCTTCTTCTTTAAATGTTCACGAATCTGTTACAATCATGTAAACTAGACTACCCAAAACAACAGAGACAATTTTGATTGGTATACAGCACACTCTGTTACGTCGAAAGCTTCAGTTCAGTCATCGCTTTCATTTGACCACGAAAATTTCTGTTAAGATAAAGGCGGGTTCTGGAGATCACGTCTGACCGTTAGGCTTCAAAACGGGACGAAACCGTTAGTGGACTCTCTGCGGGTTTTGTACAGCCTTCCATACTACTTGGATCCGATTAAGAAAGACAACGTATTGATACAATTCTTAATGGAATCTTCAGGCATCCCATGCACCGCAACTTTTGCTGAAGAAATAAGTATTGGGTGACTCTGATAAATTCCAAGTCATAGTGCTTGTGCATTCATATGGACCCGAAAATCAATTTACGACCAAATCGATGTTCAGATTGAGGATTGTTTATCATTGGTTCTGGAGATTGCCTTCACCCAACGGCTTTCGACTAAACCGGTGACTGCTATCTGTGGAACGTCCCCATGCTATGTGTTTGAAATCAGTGTATTTTCATTGATTTTAACAAAGTTTCTTTGATTTCTCGCAAAGCAGCAATGGTATTTGAAACACCTATGTCAACTGACGCCTGAAGTATTACAGAGCTTTAAGGAAGTGCTTGTATGCCAGTCTTTTCGCGTCCAATAATACTGATACTAAAAAACCGTGTTTTCACTGGTTGGGAGCTTGAGAGATGACACTGTGATCTGATGGTTTCTTGGCGGCCATGTTCATTAAAATCTTCAAGGAAATTTGTATGAATTAAGTAGAGTAGTGTTTTCAGCAACCGTCTGTAGTAAGTACCTTATAGCTTGATTGAAACAGAACGCAAAAGAACGGCGACAAAGGAACGGTGAATTAAGCATGCATAATTATATGTTCATTATATGCACACATGAGTTAACCAAACTCACCTTCGATCCTGGTTTTATAGTGGGCATTTCAAGCTCTATTAACCGGATGAGTTCGGCAAGCTTAGCGGGATATACACAAAATTGAATTCACACCGTTACGCTCGAGGCAGAAGACCTAATCCATAAAATTAGCGAACGTAACTATGGCGCACGAATACTTTGTCCACTCTACTTTGTGGGGAAAATGGCGATGTTGGAGGGCAATCGATAACAGAAACAACAGGCTAACTGTGGTCCAGTAGCGTCGAGTGATACGATTAGGTGGTCACAGTAGCTAAAGCTGTGCCAACACGCTTCTGGCGCTTCTGTGCCTCGCCGATTTGATGAGGGAGTTTGGATGGTCAGGTTCACTCACCTACGCACACACAGACTGCACGCCTCACAAACACACCTCTGGAGTGTGCATTCTAGCGGATTTGCGTGACTTGTTTGGTCTATGGTCGTCTGCACATCAGGACAACCACCTATTGTGTATGTGTATGTGTGTGTGCGTGCAAAGGAACAACGCATCCCAGACATTTAGCTAGACAGATCTGTCGCCTCCAAAGTGTGTGCTTTAGTGTATCGTGCATTAGACCATTAAACCAAATCAATCAGCATCGTCTGGAAGGCTTCAAATCCGAAAGGGGAAATATGCAAGTATTGCTTGACATGATTGCTTGTTGGTTCACAATTAACGTTAGTAGTGCACATGATTGCTTGTTGGTTCACAATTAACGTCGTATTCGCTCAAGGACGATTAGGTCTTTTACACACCCCTGTCACTGTTGAATATCACCAGGAATCGAAACTCGGCGGTCACGAATGAGGAATGTGCGTGGGTCGCACATCTTGTTGGCCTAACGGGATAAGCACGTGTGTGCTTCGTCCGAAAGTGCATCAGACTGGCCGAGTGACTGCTGTGGGTAGAAGTACCCATTCAGAGGTAAATTGCAACGTGTAAAATCATCTAGAAGCTGTGCTATTCTGGTTGGTTAGCAGCACAGTGCTTCCCATCGGACATAATACGCAAGAATCCACGCAGAAAAACGCAGAGTCGAAAGTGAATGATCACGTGTAAAAATGCTTCTAGTGAGGCTGCTCTCAAACCGGATTGATGTTCACCGTGTTCGGTACACGGAAAGCTAATGCATCTTCGGTTTCGAGAGCTTTATTAGGCGTGGATTATCAGTAAAGACGTTTTTAACGTCTGAGATTTCAAATCTGATTCTCATAATGTGTGGTTGCTAGTGCCTTTTCTCTCGGACTGTGGTAATCTCCTTTCCTTTCCCGATTATTCATGGTCTTCTGGATACGAAAGAATTTCATATAGATACTGTACACTAACTGGAGACCTCCTGACTGTAGGTGTTTGGTGCTGTGTAAGCAGCAGGGCCGTTTTTTATCACACTTCGTATGGTTACTTCGATGGAAATTGTAGGACTGTGCACATGCTTATAATCTCGACAATATATTGGTCAGGAGCTTAAATACTGTTTAATTTCCATTCTTCCGTTAGTCAAATACAAGCGCAGCACGCTAACTTTGAAGGGCAGTTTATAAGCTCATGAAAATGATCACCCATCTACGCTACGCTTGTTCTCATTTGAAATCTTCTTTGAGTTGCCACAATCACGTATATCAGGCAACTCCGTGCTTTATGACCGACTAAAAAATTGATAATTAAAACTCCCGAGATATCTGGCTTATGGTTTGCGGGTTTTTAAAGTTCATGTATATTTTGTAAGTCATTTACCAGGTAGCAGACTGATGAAGATTTCCCCGGAAACTTGCACATCGAAGCAAAACATAACCAGTCATCACTTGGAATAATTAAGCAAATTTAGGTGTTCAGCAACTTGGCCAGACCTACTTAAGTACTCTCACTGAATCCGACCCGTTCAATGTGCTATTCTTTCACCGCCCATTTGCCTCGTGGATTACATTATCCCTGTTAAAAACAAGCATAAGTGTCTCCTCGTCTTCACTGTAAATTTTTTCTCTTGGTGAATTTTCAAAGTGGACTTTTTCCACATTCTGTCGTATGAAAGCAACTAAGTATCACAATGTCTAATATCACCGCCAAGGCTTGTATGTCGCTGAATTGTTTTGATAGATGTCGAAGTGCGTTACTGGCGAATGGTCTATGTTATTACTGCGTTATTTTGAGATTGATAACACATAGAATACCGATCTATGCGCCTAATGTCTGACATTATTCTGCTGAGTCAGTTTTAGGCAAGAAAGCACTTCTGACTATATTAGATTAAGTGAAGAATATTTCGAGTAATGAATTATATGTGTTTTGAAACCGAAGGTCAGCGTGGCTACTTACTACTTCTATTTCTAAAGTTTCGATGAGAATAAGTGCTAGTTATGATGGAACTTTGGTTATTCGACCGAAATTCCCCCTCCATTCGTTCAATCTCATTTATATCGGCAAGTGGATTGGTTGCCATGGAGTGCTGCACCTACCTATCTCTCATTTATACCCCACCTTCGAACTCCACTATTGTTTTCGCCCACCTCTGACAGCGTATTGCGACACAACACAGCATGACGCCAGCAAAACGCTCTGGCCTGTTGTTGTGGGAGTTGGCAATTATTTTTAGTACAAGCGTGACATTTTCGCATACCTTAATCTTAGCAACACGATTGGTTGCATGCTAAAACTACGGAACCGCTTGTCCCGTTCATCACACAGGTCATTTGATGAGTGTTTGAACAAAAGTGGGGATAAGGGGAAAATAGCCAACTGATAACGATTATAAAATGATGGTTAGACGGCATCCATTCCGAACCAGCTGAAGCAGGCTTGCAACTTGGTAGGAGTAGGTACCATCCTGACGGTACGTGATTGCACAATAGGCTGAAGCTCTACTCTGGAGGGAAGACGTAGTCATCATCATCGAAGACAGCAACATCAGTCATGGCACTGATGCTTCACTGTCGTACAACCATAAGGTTCCTCTATGTACATTACACGTATATATCCGCTCAATCAGACAATCTGGAAAGAAACTGGCAGCACGAACGCCACTGACATCGATTAGCTGCCATTTCTTGCAACGTCTCCAGCCAATAACAGACGGGGTCACGGGAACCCCATCCTGGAAGGTGTAAAACAACAACAACACCCAAACCCTTCGTGATCTCTTTCACACCTTTCTGCCAAGTCATGTGCTCTCCACCTCGCGGTTTGCGCCATCCTGAAGGAGGCACGGAGAACAACACTCGTCTCGTAGACGGTGTTTCGGCATGCGTAGCACACATCACCCAGCCATCGTAGTCGATGATGCTGGATGTTTTCTCGGATTGAAGTACCTGCAGCACAACCAACTACCCGCTTTCTGATCAGCTCGTTACTAACACTCTGAAGCCATCCGAAACCAGTCACGCTTCTGAGGAATCGATGGTCGAAAACCTGAAGACGCCTCACATCATCTACCCGCGGAGGCCATGTCTCACACCCATACAACAACACAGCCCTTACTGTAGCCTGGTACACACGACCCTTAAGATCCAGTAAGATGCCTTTTTGACGCCACAAGTGACGCAAATTAGCAAACGTGACTCAAGCCTTTGAGATTCTTGCACTGACTTCATCACCAGATTCATTCTCAATACATGCAATTAGTGTGAAAGAATGCACTACTTCTCTGCCGCAGAGTAATATGTAAACTGCAGACGACATCAATCTTTGAAATTTTTATAGTGCCAGCGATTTTGCCCTAAGACTGTTGCGATGGCTGGAAATGCACATCAGGGAGAACGTCCTTCTGAACTGAACTGTTTTTTCCTGAAGCATGTCCTTTTGCACCTAATTTAATTTAAGGGGGTGATTCAACTGAAACTTTCGTTTGCTATATTCTCCGACTGAATACCTTATACAGCAGCTACATTATGCCTCGGTTGTTACGACGTTCGAGGTTTCGCAAGCATAGTGTTGTAGTTCATAAATTGGACGATATCAATGTCCATATCATTCCGTTGGACAGGAATCTTTCTAAATCATCCAGTTGGACCCTATTCGTTGCGGCTCCGAAGCCTCATGTCTTTGATCTTTCAGCGCGAGAACAGTATATTTTGTGTGTACATCGCGGCAGAGACTTTTTTCGAAACGCGAAGTTCATTCGCGGGTAATGTGAACGAAAACAAATAACTAAGAATCGAATTAAACCAAAGAGCTCAGGTTTACCGGATGTATCATTCGCCAACTGAAACACCATGGAGTTAGCCCTAATCATACCTGTGCACTCTAACTGCACATGGGATTATCCAGACATCTATCGAATGAATTGCTAGCACCATTAATGAACCCTATGTGTGATTTTACAACACGCGTATCCTCCAGATATGCGAGAATAAAAGTTTATATTAATCAAAACGAGAACAGCACTGCAGGATGCAAACGCGAATTCCACACAGACGTAGCCTGGATGAAAAGACATCTTGGAGTTCTAATGAGACAGCTAAGGCATGATGCGATTCCTCCAGACGAGCGTGCCATAAAGCCGACCAACAAGCTAACCAACGAAGTTTGACGATTCGATGGAACAAAGATAGACGGCGAAGGAAAATTCAGAACGCTTCCAGAAATGCCACATTGCGAAGAAGATTGGGTGTATGTAACACCTTCAAAAGACTTTTGAAATAAAAACAGCTTAAACGGATGCCATTGGCTGCCTCCCATTGAAGAACCTGCCCGTGATATTAACAACTATCATTAGTATGATAGGGATCAAATACCGATGAGGTAACACTGTCCCCACGCTTACAGCCATTACAGTTCACACTAATAACCAGTTCAAGACCCTGGAAAATGTTTAGGAGTAAGCTTTTCACTCTTAACTAAAAATGAGTGAGGGAATGTACCCCACTATAAAGCGGTACAGTGAATCTTTTCACTTAGTTCCAATATCAATGAGCTAAGTGCATTACACGGATGTTTGTAAAACTTGGAGGAGTTCAGTGAAGCTTAATCATGCAATAACAAACCAATGCAGGAGCTGTCCGCCACACTTCATACCAACAACTCACAACCAATGTTCCTATTATAAATCGCCTTGAACCCATAGTATTCACATCTTTTTAATAAATGACACAGATGACTACACCCCCCGTTGGGCTGTGAGAAAAGACTACACCCGTTCTGAGGGACTATATTTTGAGGTAAGGCTTGCATCTGATTGTCTATATTCCGGCTTTTTGTCTGTATATCTACGAGTCAAAAATCATTTGGCGAAAAAATTAATTCCGCCCCGCGGGTTTCTCCATATCAAATGGTATTCATAAACAGCCGCAGTTTGTGTCGAATAAGAACTGGGCTTTTGTCTGTCACCACATCCGAAATTCCATAGCCTCTCTTTCTGAAGTAAGAACATTTTTGGCCAGAATGATTAGAATGTCAGAATGAACATCCCACCA